GAGTTTTAGTTACTTTGAGTATGTTACAAAAAAAACTTGTTACTGAAATCTAGCTCTTTAAAAATAAAAAACGAATGGCCGGGCGAGCTTCTGGGCAAGGTTTTACGCTTTCGTTTTCTCCTCCCCAGTCACGGTACCCCATGCATAAGATCAATGCTGTCGCACATCAGCAAAGGTTACAAAGTTGCCTTAGAATCTTAAGTATATACAGTTTACATTGCTTCTTAGATATCTAACTGAATAAAAATAATCACTTTCTACGTTAGAAAGTAACGAATTCAGTTAACAGTTTGATTACGCGCGTGTCAGGTGTCACTGCGCGGCGTGCCCGCACTCCCAACGGTAACCATGCGCATATAAAAAACTTATTGTTATGCGATCATACAAAAACACTGGACTACGGCTGCGCTACTGTCTACATGCCACAATCGATTTCTTTAGACTGCGCGAGTTTTTTTTCGTGTGGCGAATCATGCGTTGATGGCCGAGGGCTAACCGGAGTATTTATCGTAATATGGAGAGGAAACAAAGTAGCGGTCAGGAGGACCGAAGTTTTATAGAGATGGTGGCCGAGCAAAACCTGGTGGGTCCTCGGGCTCTCCGGTTGGAACGCTGCCGCGGCATGGGCAGCGATTTTTTCTCGTATCTTCCAAAATTTTCGCCTCTCGTAATTGTTGTTACCGAGCGCTTTGAAGCTGACGAGCGAATCCGCTCGCCGCTCCCGTGTATTTTTTTTCGCTGGCACGCGGTGTGTGCGTGCGTGTGCAACATACAGCGTGCATGTGCACTTTCATCACCTCTTTGATCGCCCACACACCATTTCAATCTCAGTATCCTGGCGCTCACTTGGCGCCCCCACTGCATTTCGTTGAACAGGCATGCGTCCTTGCATTTCTTTTTTGCTTAGGATCTTTCTGTGCCCCTCGGAAAGCATCATGCGCTTAACAGTTTCCAAGCGATACGTTTGTTAGTGCCGGTGAAAAAACTACCAGCGACATACAGCCTGCCACACAGGTCATACCCTTCGCTGGGTCCATACTCTAGCCACGGTATGACGGACTTCCACGCTGCCGCCTGGACGACGCATCCTTTTCGCTCTTATCATAGACACGCATGGCCATCTAATTTCTCCTCCTGCGATTTACGTTTGGGGGGTGGAGGGAGCGCCGTCCAAAATACTTTCACATACAACCTTGGATGTTAGTTAAATTATACTATTGGATAAGGATGTACCTACTATAGCTTTCACTACTATTTGTTAGACTGCCTTCAAGTAACACACGCATGCGATGTGTTGCGATGTGAATCACCTCCCTATGAGAGGTTAATGATTAGTTTGCGTTCATTTCTACAATCAGACCGTTTGTTTCTATGTCAACAGCTACTGTTCAAGCGATTCGAATTGGTAGACGGCGTTCGTGCGCCATTGTTTAAACAATGTTTGTTTACTGCCGTAGGGTCTAGCATGCTTGGAGCGTGCAGAGCGATGCTTGCGTCTATTTACTTGGACGTGCGCGTCTTAACAGGGAAAACTTGTAATAGGGACGGAGTTATATATAGCTCTTTGGCGGGGAGGCCCGCCCTGCCGCCGTCGCACGACGGGGATCTTGGATGAAGCGACGGCTGCCGCCGGTAAATCGATGGGAAATTGGGACGGTGAGGACGGCGGAAAATCAACATAACTTAGTCCTCGCCGCGACTAACTGATGGGAATCTATCCAGTCCTTCCAATTTTTTACTAGTCTCGGACCTACGGACTAGTGTTAGTGTTCAAAACCCTGTGTATATTTGCGACGAAACTTTACAGGAATTGTATTATTACTTACTTCTATTAGTATACCCGACTATTAATAGTCATTACCCTACAGTAAAACCCCGTATAGAACATAGATTTTAAGAACCATGTTAGGCCCTAATTTCCCATTTAGACCCGTTTACAATAAGACCTGTTTTAGGCTAAGGATTTTAAAGTAGGTTCTTGATTTTCCATGCAGATGATGACTTAAAAAGAGACACACAGGTAATAATAAAAAAGACGAGCTCAGACAATTACGCATGAATGCTGCCAGCACCTTTTTTTGGCACGCTCTTTTGGCATATTGTTTTGTTTCCTTGGAATACATTACTGTATCATACAGTATGCGTAAGCCACTGAAAAAAACTCTACACTGGTAGCCCATCCATGGGGCGATTAATAAATAGAGCGTGTAACGGATACACATTGCAGGCGGCGTAGCAGCGATTTTTCCAAGTTGTAGGCACGACTTGCTGAGCGGAGCGCCCCATGGGGTTGGCCGCGGAGCGTACAAGAAATTTTTGCGTTTTACAAACCCCCAGGATGGCGCGGAAACGGCCCCTTCCCGAGTGTTCCATTCTGGTTCCCTGGCCTCTGCTACTCTGAGACCACCTCATTCAATAATCACTTTTAAACCCAAAAAACAACGAGTTTAAAAATAAGGCGTTACGAACGAGTTAAAATGTTAAACAACTGACAGATCGCGATCCTAGTCTTTTTCGCGGTAGAGTTGCAATGAAACGGGCACGCGATAGAAATGACAGCCTAGATGACAGAAGACATAGGTCCACCTAATTTAGCCATATCTTGCTACGTTCCATTTCACATAGTTTTTCCTGTTCTAGACTCTTAAACTCGTCAGCAAGCTGTATGGATTTGAATTATGGGGTGTTTAAAAAAAAAGCATAACTTGGTCCAAAAAAAGTGTAGGCCTGGGCCTACAGTTGCTACATACTTGGCTTCGCCCTTGACTATGCTGCCACGCATTCGCCCCCCCCTCCCCTCCCTCCCGCGGCCCCTCCCTCTCCCTTTTTCGTTCGTCTGAAAGTCCCGTCCTCCTCGCTCTCTCTCCTCCCCAGCTCCGCTCTCCCCGTCTCGCGATTTGATTCACGTCATGCATCACGCATTCGATTCACGATTCGATTTTTTCCTTAAAGACAAAACAATTTTTTTGTCAGACAAAAAACACATAATTATTTTCTACGTGTGTGATTATAATAAAAGTCCAAAATCAACACTATATGTTTTGTATGTTAATTTATATAATGAACGTTGAACATTCTTTATTGAGCAAGTCAAGTTAACACCAACTAACAATGTCAACTCACTAGTCACTACGGACTGTGTGAGTGAGTGTGATAGACATAAACATTAACCAATGAACAAAGTAAACAAAGTAGTACTGTTCTAAAAAATAAAGACTAGAATGTAGTGCCATGACTCCATGAGTAATTTAGTACATAGTACATACAACCCAAACTAATATCCATTGCACTTTGAACAATGAACAATCAGCAATGAGCATTGAGCAAGTTGTCAAAAAGGCAACAACATTAAAAACAAAGTAAATTATAAAGACTGAATAGTCATAAAGCATGAAATAGCAACAAGTAACAGTCTTGTTTCAACTTTCAAGATATGCAAAACTTACATGTAAATAAAAATCGAATATCGATTTAAAAAAAAAAAAATCGAATGTCGCGATACACGATTTATTGTTACACCTCTATTAATTAGCAAAAATTGCAGTCCTTGTAAGAAAATTTTAACACAATTTGAATCAAGTATAAGCTTATACATATTAAAAGTAGAAACAATTAAGAACCTATTTAAGAACCTTTTGAGCCTAATTTTTCAGTAAGCACCATTTATATAAGAACATATATTGAGGCTAACTTGGAAAAATCTATGTTCTTATACGCGGGTTTTTACTGTATTAGTATTAGTATTAGTTAGTATAGCCCGACCAGGCTGTGCGACGGATTGTCTATACAGGTATAGGTATATAGGTATTCTAACCCTAGCAATACCGTTTCTTGGAGCTATAGTTAGTATTACTAGTATTAGCAGGAGTAAGATAATATAGTCCTATTATATATTATAGATATATAATAGATATCCTATATTATCTTACTCCTGCTATTAGTATAATATTACTTAGCCTACTAGTACTACCTAGCTCTAGTACTATAGCCCGCGGAGGCCTGCGGCAGCGATCCGCGGGCTTAGTATTAGTACTAGAGCTACCTACTACCCCACTAGGGCCGAAAAAGGCACAGCCACAGGCACTTGAAGCGTTTCAATAAAATATAATGCTAACTAAATACGAAATCTATTTACTACCAAATTTTTAATGTTTCTATAATAATACTTTCTTTCACCTATTATTGCCGACAGTTTCCTGTAAATTCCGTCCAAATCCTACGTCCAACATACGCTGCCGGCGACCATTGCTCTCGCGGCTGCACTGTTGCACGCTTACACTTATATATGTAGTGTATACACTATACACTATATATATA